ATTTAAAAAAAAAGCATAATAATTGTATATAAGCCAATTTGGGTTATCTTAAACTACTTGTAAAATTAGTTGACAAGATTTCTTTCTTCTGGATGCACTTCCATTTTATGATCCGTGATTCCAAAGGTAGGGATGGGGACGGTTCTATCGGCTCCATTTCGGTTCCTCTTCGGTTCTACTTCGACTCTTCTTAAGTAAATAAAACTTTGAGCTTTAAGTTAATTTATACTAATAGAACATCATGTGATGATCAATTTAAAAAAATTTTTGACTGGTTATCAAACAAATTCGTCCTATTATTACCTTTAATTTGATGACAATCCGATTTTGAGCCGACTCTTGGAACCGGTCCGGAGTCGGTTCCGGTTCGATTTTTAATATTGGTTAAAAATGGTTTGTAACTCAGGAAAACCCAGAATATGCTGAAATTATAATCGGTTTCAGAACCGACTCGGAGTCGCTCTCTTTGAACCATCCCCATCCCTATCCAAAGGTCAACATTCTATTTTGATTTCTCAAAATGCGTCCATTAAATAACGCGGTTAGTTAAATTTCCATCTTTATCACTAGAGCCAAATTTTATAATTTGCGAGTTATGTTTAAGGTTTATTTACATTTGTTACGAATAATCCATGTAATAAAAAATAACATTAAGAAAGCACGTCGTGATATATAAAAAAAAAAGTAAATAAATTTTAAAGTAGATTCAAATGAATGTTTTGAAAACCTTCTCAAAGAACGAAAGTAGAATATTGCTAAACAAAAATTACCTGTTTTCTAAATCGACAGGTGTCGAAATCATATTCAATATAGTTAATGATTTTTTTTATTATTGTTCAGCTTATAAAAATGATCAATATGAAAAAAGCTAATAAAAAATCGATTATTAAATAAAAAGGTAAAATTACAAAAGGATACCTTATCATTTTAGAAAGTGTTTAAATTTTCGGGAAATCTTTACGAAATTATTTCGTCTGGCTTTTTTCACCAGAAAGAAAAGAAAATCTCACTAGTTTAGAGAATATTTTATTACATACCAATAGCAAATACTCATAAAACTACATAAATAACAAATAAAGTTTTCATTAACTTAGTAGAATCCCGTCGCGAATAACTTATTTAAACTAGTTATAAATCTCTTAATATCAGTTAAAGAAATTAAATTGTTATAAAAAATTTGCTCTATATTATTTACTTTGCTATCTATTTGGGTTCCGATGAATGTTATTTATGATTTTTTTTTGCCTTAAAATATTTATTCAAACATTCTTTAGATCCGTTATTCGGTTATTTCCATTTGTTCATATAAATATGCGAGTCTTTTTGGGCACAGATATTACCTTCTTAGCGGCAATCTTGTATAGATTCAATGCCTTCTCTTTATCAACATCAGATATAATCCCATGATCATAAAATATCCAACTTTATATTGAGCTTCTTAATGTTCTCGATTAGCCGATTTCTTATAAAATTCGAAAGCCCAGGTCAAATTTTCATCACACCATTTCCTAATTCATAAAATTCACCTAATATAATGCAACCTTATTGTCACTTTCCGCAGATTTATGATACCAATAATAAAGTTCATTATCTTATCATCAATTTAATATGACGATAATGCAAGAACCTCATGTGAATCACTATCCTTTTTCCAGCAGCTTTTTATATAACACAAATCCTTTCATGTGATTAATATCGGTTCTGATGCCATTAACATAGCAATATCCAAGTAGTAACTTTGCATCCAGGTCTCCTTGTTTAGCAGACTTTTTATAATACTTGAACGCTTGAAACTCATCTTTTACAATATCTCTTCCTAATTCATAACATTCACCTCATTGCAATTTCATCCTCTTTTTCTGCCGCTTTATTAAACCAATAAAAGGCTTTCTTTCTGTTCCTTCAACTTTTTTTTCATAAAGTAACCAAGATTATTTTGTGCGATTTCATAACCATATCGGCCGCTTTCTGATACCAATAAAAGGTCATTTCTAAATTCTTTTCCGTCATACGAATAACCAACGTTGTTTTGAGCAAATTTATAACCATTTTCTGCCGCCTTTTGATACCAATAGAAGGAATTCTCCAAATTCTTTTCCGTTTACCGTACAATCATGCTTGATTATATATTGTGAAAATTTATCTTCATTTTCGGCGGCCTTTTGAAGACAATCAAAGACTATTTCTAAATCCTCAAGATTAGTTTTTTATGAATTCATTTTCATTTCCCGATAGTGCTGATACGTTCGTTAGATCATTTTCGGAATCCATCATGGATTTTTTTTTGTCAACTTAAACTTCGACAAACTTTTAGAAATATGTTGTAAAGTATTTAAAACGTGCAGCGTCGCGATGCAATTTAATGAAACTGTAATCAATTATAAAACCTTACGGAAACCGTCTCCTAATTTCATTAATAAATTTAATCTTGAATCTGTTGGTAAATTATCGAACTGACTTTTATAGAGTATATCAAACTGTTATATTCAGTTCTTTCAATTTTAATGTAAACAGATGGTATTTTACAAGTAATTAAGTAATTATGATGTTAGTATTGTTCAATAAAATTAATTCATCAGTGTTGTCTCAAAATCGGCGCTCTACACTTTCGCAATTCAATTTTATTAACTCAATTAAACGTTAATAATAAATGCTAATTAAAACTAAAAATCTTATAAACGAAAAATTAAAATAACGAAATTAAAGAAGTTGCAACGTTACAATAAGAAAATTTATGGAGTTAAAATAGCAAAGGCAATAAAATCGCAAGGGATTAAAGGATGAATATATATGCAAAACAAGGAGGGAGAAATGTGAAAAATATATAATTGTACATGCCACACTCTTAGATCTCCAAATTCCGGCATATATATATTAATTTTTTAATTAGAGCGATATTTCCCTAACGCTAACTAATTGTCATCCTAAATTGATCTACAAAGGCTGACCAGGTTTAGCGAAGGCAATTTATGAGTGAAAATCTTTGTTCTTTGACGAAATTATATTAAATGTAACATTAAAAAAAAAAAAAAATAAAAAAGAGACAAGTTAACCAATAATATATTATTCCTGACTTCTTCATGGTAAAGTTTTGATGTCCCAGTTACACTTTGTTTAATATAATACGTTCACTTCATCTTGACAATGTTGTGAATGAAATTGATTTTTGTCTGAAGTTGGAATTTAAACGATCTTCGAGTATCTGAAATTGAGATTCGAAGATCAGTTAACTGAAATTGGAATTATATCCTTTAGACATGAGGCATCTGAAATTGAGATATCTGAAATTCAATTTCAGACACATGTCTGAAATTGAACTTTAGATAAAATCTGAATTTTATACTAATTATGCATTTATAAATTAAATTAAAAGTAATATGAAAAATCTATTATTTACATTTATTGTACATATGCAATTAAAAAAATTTTTATGAATTTTTAACTACTTTCTTTTATTTATTTTTCTTTACTATATTATAATAAAAAAAAAAAATTAACGATCCTTTTCTCTATAATTAAAATTTATAAAAGTTAAGTAATTTTATTTTAAAATTCGCCTCTCAGCTTCAAAATAGAATAATTATACAGGTAACTCGTAAAGGTAGGAGTTCTTTTTCTATTTTCTTTTTGCTGTTTTAAAATAATTAAAAAGAATAAAAAAAAGTGTATGTTTTTAACATGTTCTTCTAATTGAATGATTATTTTTTGCTTTTTCAGGTTGGATCACTTCGGTCTGAAGTTTTAATAAAAAGAAACCTGAAAATATGGAGGGAAACGAAAATGAATAAAATCACTTATTTAACTGACGCAGCACCCGATATGGTTGAAAATCTGCATGAAAATAAAATATGAAATAAAATAAAACTAAAAAAAAAAAATAAAAAAAAAAATTTAAAAAAAAGAAATCACTTATTTGCCAAAAAGAAAAACCTATATTAAGCAGCAGCCAGAATGTGAACAAAAATCCTAAAAAAAAGATTAAAAGAAACAAAAAGGGTGTCTGAAATTGGAATCTCAATTTCAGACACATGAAGATCGTCTGAAATTCCAATTTCAGACGAAAATCAATTTCAGTTACAACAATTAATTTCAATAGTTTTATTGTTTCTTGTAAAAATAAGTACAAAAAAAAGTTTTATGAAAATTTTATCACTTTTTATGGTATTTATTAAACTCGTAGAAGAATTGGTCATTTTGATGCCTTATCTTCCATTTTACAGTATTTTTTAAAGATTTCTTACTAAATATGTCACATACAACCACTTTAGTTTTTCGTCACATGTCTAATTTCTTAAAAATAGAAAATTTTAAAAATATGGATTTTTTTTCTTTAAAAAAAAAAAAACTTACTATACCATACTATATGAAAATATGAAATGGGAATTCATATAAGATCTATTCACGACCGCCACATTATTTATTCATTGAAGTACTGAGTTAACGCCCAACTTGATTTTACAACTCCATTCTTAATAAAGCAAAAAATGATCACGTAATTAGTTTAATTATAGGAGGAGTCTAACAAACAATAAGTTTTAGTGAGTTAAATGATCACGAATGAATTTAATGAATATAGAAGGAGTCCAATAACAATAAGCTTAGTTGATTGTGTTTATATGGGATGATGGAATTGAAATTTCCCGTAGGTGTGCATAAAGCAATAGACGGATCATGGCCTCACAATGTTTCAGAAGCGAAATAAAATGAACACTTTCAACCAACATAATTTAGTTTCAAAGAACAATCTTTTTTGTAAACAAAAGATGCAAATATATAATTGCCACCGGACTTCCCAAATCGGCAAGTGATGATCTATTTATTAACAATGGAATAGTTATTAAAAAATCCGCCAGGCCGTGATATGCAGCTTGCCCACATCAGGTAAAGACCAACAAAATTTCAGACATAAATACAGAATGAATCCACGAAAAAAAAAAAATAAAAATAAAAAAAAAATATTTTTATTTAGAAAAAAAAATACATCAATAATAATCTATAAGATGAAATCATTTTCAATCCTCACATCAATTTTTCTCGTACTTATTTCACCAATATTGATTCACACAGCAGACATAGACTTTAGTTATACTGGAAAAACGGGACCAATTTATTGGGCTGATTTAAAAGGAAGCAATGAGATCTGCCGCACTGGAAAACAACAATCACCAATTGATATCACTCATGAAAAATTCAATACATTTTCTAAACCTGATAGTGTAACTTTTGATGATGCCAAGAACGTCGAAATTGTAAATGATGGTCATACTGTTCAAGTTTCTAACAAGGAACAAATTTTGCCTGCTACAATGAAGATTGGAAATGAAGATTATGAATTGGCACAATTTCATTTTCACACTCCGTCCGAACATCTTATTAATGAAGAATATTTTGATGTTGAAGCTCATTTTGTTTTTCAAACAAAAGCAGGAAACCTTTCAGTTATCGGTGTCTTTTATGATGTCTCCGATGAACAAAATGACTTCTTGAAACCAATTGTCGATAATGTAATCGAATATTTACTTTTATGTGTCATTCATCATTATTTATATATTTTCATGATATATTAACCGACCATTATTTATAATTCAATTACAGCTTCCTCTTAAAAAAAACGATAGTCATTTAATCGACTTTATCAAACTCTCGAAGGTATTGCAAGATATTGATTATATGAACCAGGTAACCTTATTAACAATGTTCGCGCCTGCAAAAAAATAAAATAAAAAAAAAAATTGACGCGTTCTTTTCAAAACGTAGACGTATACATATCCCGGAAGTCTTACCACGCCTCCATGCGGCGAAGGAGTCGTCTGGTGGGTCAATACTATCGTTCAGCCAATCAGCTTAAGTCAATACAGACAACTTCGTCACGTCATGGGTTTTAATTCACGTTTTACTCAAGATATATACTTTTAAAGTAGAAGTTATTCATTAAAGTGATTATTAAGTTTTTTTATTATTTGCTGTAAATTTATAAAATGCATAACGATCAATTTTTTTAATTGCCACATGACGTAGATTTGATTAAATTTTCTAAGATCATTTAATATACAATGAAATGGTTATTTTTAATTTAATTAATACATGATTGTAACTAAAAAGTTGTGAATTTATGGATTCGAATATAAGAAACAATTTAGTAATAAATAAGCAGAGAAAACGAGATTCTCTAATTCTCAGAATACTCCTTTATTATTTCGCAATAAAATTTTACCTAATTATTAATAATCTTTCGGTCTCACCATAATAATAAAATGGATTAACAATACAGCATGTAATATGCAGATCATTCGAATTCACAAATCCTATAGGTTACTTTTTTCCAATATTCAATTATACATGCAATTCAGTCGTTTTATTTTCTATATGGTTTTCTGAGAAAAAAAAAGGCGACCGGTGATATCGGGATTATGAGTGGCGGTACCGAATATGTTGTAAATTATCTATAAGCCATTTCCGGATTTACGCTCACTCGAATAATCTATTTGTTCTTTTTGATGGCGATTTTACAATGATTTATTTAATTATCATGATTTAGAAAATGGTAACATTTAATATGAATAGATAATGATTTCATTGGACATCAATCGTATATCATAAATAAAACGTTGAATAAATTTATTAACCAAAATGTTATTGTACTTTGTTCAAAATTTACAAATTATAATGTTCAAATCGGAAAAATATTAAATTAGATTTATTAAAAAAAAAAAAAATAAGCAGGGCTTTGTGATATGGTGGCTTTCTCGATCAATGTTACGTAAAATTGCTTGGACTACAAATGTTGATGTAATAAAGATTATTATTTTGTAGAACCGATTTTTTATTTATTATTAAAAGGGGGGCTTAAAATCAGGTTCTGAGATCTTTATCGCATTTTAATTTTAAATCTTATTTTATCCAAAACTTGATTTGTGACATTTGATTTTTATTATGAATGTGACATGTTTGATCAGCAAAATTTGTGACATTTGATTTATAATATGAATGTGACTTGTCATGTTTGACCGCACCTCCTTGTTCTACAGAAAATTCTACGGAAAAAATCGAAAGCCACATAAAAAAAAAAAAAAAAATACCCATTACTCTAAGCGATGGTGAAAAATCTTTTCTTTTTTTGGTAAATAACATATTTTTATAAATTTCAAGTTTAATAATAATCCCGGCGGCGTCGTCTGAATATGCATTGGAACAAACATTTCTAGAAATTCATTATACATATTTATTTGTGCACAAAAATTTCCTTCCAAAATCTAGTAGCCGAGTCGGAATGAACTAAAAGTATCTTCTTTTAAAAAATTGCCAATTAAAAATGTAAAAGGATCTTGGCAACCCTATTAAATTGAAACTCGAATTACTGATTTCTTTCACATATGAGAGGTTTGTTATTAAAATCGAGTTACGAAAATAGTAAATAATATGATCCGTAACGTGATTTTAATAGCTTACCCTTTCTATGTGAAGATACGAACGTTTGTTAGAAGTTTGTGTTTTATATTTTAGAAAACAGAGTTTTTTTAAATTTAAATTCTTTATTGGAGATGAATTTTTTAAAAAGTCTTTTGACTGCTTTTCCAATAATTTATTTACTTAAAGAGATATGATTGGAATATAATTAAATATGAATAAAACTATTAAAGTAGTTAAAATTAAGAGTATTAGTGTTTTTAAATTTTTAAACAATTAGAAATTCTAATAGTAATAAAATAAATTTCAATGAAAATAAAAAGTATAATATTTATAGGTTTAATCAAAATTTTGATCAATTATTATAATAACAATATTTCTCTTCAAAAAAATTATTGAATTTTTCTAACTGTAACCGGAGGTGATTGTCACCGCATCACGTGATACTATCAAATTTAAATTTAGCGTTAAAAAATTAAAAATGTTTATTTCAAACTAATTAAACGAGTTGAGGTCAATAAAAAGCATGATGTATGTATTAAATTTGGATTGCAATACATTCTGTGAAATTTTTTTACAAGGTTCCGGCGACCGAAGGGAGCCCGACTAATTAAAGAATGTTTGAATTATAACAAGTTAAACAGACTCTGCTTTATTTCATTGATGCTGCTTTGTGCATTTTCTAGAATTATGACTAGGTTCTCCACAGACTTTGCATATATATTTTCATTTGTTATTATTTTTGTCAGTATTGGGTTCCTCATTAGCAAATATTTCGTTAGAATTGAGAGTTCTTAGTGCAGATGAACTTTGTAAATGTTGCATTGCTTGTGTATTTGTATTCAGTTATTTCTTTCATAAATTCGATATGGTTGACGTCCTCATTAAAAACTGTATCATTTTGGTAGTCCTGCTCACCTCCAATAAAAATAAATTATTTAAAGCCCAATTACGAAGCAAAATAAACATTAAAATCAAAAACTTACCTTCTATAATTATATCCATAACAAAACAAAAGGTAAAGAAAGAGTAAAAAAAAAAGAAACTGAAAAATTCTCGTAGTTTATTTTATTGATTGCATTACGTAATTTTTATATATATTATTTGTCATGTGATGCTGGTGATCGTAACCGTCGGTGATTACAATTTTAAAATATTTTTTTTAAAAAAAAGGTAAAAAAATTTATTATAAAAACAGTTATTTATAAAAAAAACCAAAAAAATTTTAATTAATAAATTTTTAAAAAAACCGAATAAAAAATAATGAAAAAAAATTTTTTTATCTAATTTATAATTTTAAAATAAAAGGTTTTATTTTTTAAAAAAAGGAAATAATTAATTTATTAATAAAAAAATTTATTTATAAATTTTAAAATAACACGATCTCACTATCTATAAATATCATTTTTAATCATATATAATATAAATATAATTATAATATATCCAAGTATTTTATTAAACATAAAAAATTTAAGATTAAGATCTAGATATAACTTAATTTTTAAATCAAACATGTTAAAATATATCTGAATAATTTTAATGAGGTTATTATTTACCACTACTAGTAATCAGTACTGATATTATAAGGTTCATTTTTTAGATGTTTAAGTAATCTATTTGAATTTTGTCAAAATAAATTACCTTTTTAGAATTGTGTAATTTTACCTGACATTCTAAAAAGCCTTTTAACCTGAATTATAAATTTTGGCCAAACTTATATATGTGATGAATAACAAGTAATAAATATAATTACACTCAAAAATTATAAGTTCATAAAATATATAATAAAAATGGAATGTGAAAGATATGATATGAGATAATAAATTATTAATATAAAAATTATGTGATACTGATGCTGATTATCACTTGTGATATGTAATAATTTTCAATTTTAATTAATAAATTTTAACTTATAATTTAATTTAACTAATACTATAAATTTTATTTTTTAAAATATTTAAAACTTAATTTATTCTATTTTAATAAATATATAAAATTTAATTAATTAAAAAACTTTTATTATTATTAGTATTAACTTTATTTTTATTATAACAATAAATGTATAATATATAATAATTGGTAAAAATATAAATCTAAAGTTTCAAACAAATTATATCAGATCAGTAAATCAAATTATCTAATCTGAAAAGTTTAGATAAAGTCAAGCAAAAATATATTTTAACTTAAATTTCTATTTAAATTAAATTAATTTAACTTATTTCAATCTATTAAATCATTTAAGAAGAATAATTTAATATTTTAAGTAAAATAATTTAATATTATTCAAGTAGAATAATTATTAATATTTAAAAAGATAATTTAATATTATTCAATTAAAATGATTTATTATTAATATAATTAAAATAATTTTTTATCATTAAATATAAGAATGATTTATCATTATTTTAATTAAAAGATTAATTATTATTTAAGAAAAATAATATATCATTATTTTAATTAAATAATATATTATTATTCTAATTAAACAATTCTTTATCATTTCAAAAAATGACTAATTGACTTAAACTTTGACAGATCAGATCAAATCAGTTAATAAGTCATTTTGATTTAATTTAATACTTTATTAAACTATTAATTCTAATCTTAAATTACAATTTACTCTTTATTTTTTTATAATAATTATTCTTTAATTTATGTTCATTATTATTTTCTAATTCACTTTTATAATTATTTTTAATTTACTTTATTTTCATTATAATTTTATTTTCACTAATTTATTATTATTTTTATTATTTTTTTTAATCTTTCTTTAAAAATTAACTTTTTTTAAGATCCTTTTTATTTACTTTATTTAACCAATTAAAATTAAAGTAACTTATGTCTTATATTTATCATTTAAAATATCATACATTAAAATAATTTCTTAAATTTAAATAAGTTTATTTTATTTTTATAAAAAAAAATATTTTTAAATAAAAAAATTTCATTAAATATTTTATTATAATAAATATTAATATAAATTATTAAATAATAATTAATAAAATATTTAATAATTATTTATATATTCTTAAAAAAATAACAATTTAAATTATTAGATAATAAATTAATTATATAAATTAATTATATATATAATATATATTTAAAATTATTATGATATTATAAATATTAATTTTTTATATATAATTTTTATAGCAAAAATAAGCGAATTCTAATATAAAATTGTCAATTTAAATAATAATAAAATAAATAAAATATTTTATTTATTTGAAAAATTTTTTCTTATAATAATATTTTATAGTAAAATTTTAATAATCTTTAAATAATTAATTCATTATTTTTATACTATTAATTAACCTTTTTTTGAAAAAATTAAATGCTTTTTTATTAGTAAATATTATTTCTAATTATTATATAAATACTTGTAATTATAAAATATATTTTTAGCTATGATTTAATAAAGAAAATTTTAATACTAAAAATAAAAATATAATAATATATAATAAATCTTATTTATTTTATAATAGTTATATTAAGTTTTTAGTTTAATT